TTACCCATAACGACTTCTTAATTTACAATTGGGCTAATCAGTGAAGCCCAATATCGGATTTGAGGGGCGTAGTTATTGATGTACAAACTCAAAGTAAAATGTAAGATCAAGCCTAACCCTCTCTTTCCAAATGATTTCCAGCCCTAATAGATCAAGTTGTGCAAAGTAACTCTGATAACAACCCATCCCTAATGACATTTTCTCAAATTATCCCTGTTTTTCTTCCATTTCAAACCTGTTGTTCATGCGAACGCTACTGAACATAAACGGACAGTGTTTAAGTTGGATGCAGACTCTTTATAGTATTCGCTTAGACTCACACTCGTATGAATTACGAACTATACAACCCATAAGTTTACATGCCTTCGAGTTGCTTGACGTTGTTTGTTTCGAGAGATTCAGGTCATTCAATAACTTAAACCACGGTCTAATGTATTATCACATTCGGATATTGACATTGAGTTCTAGGTTGCTGCATCTGATACTAAACTAACTACACTTGTTAAAACTTAAATGAATTTGGTGCATTTTACACCATACTGATACCTTATATAATTTTTATTGTAAGTGGCTTCATAGCTGAGAACTGAATAGACTACCTTCAAGTCATCAGTGTACAAGAAGGTAATACATGGGTTACAGCAGCTTGAATTACTGTCGATGTACAATACCACAAACACTCCTCCGCATGACTATACTAGTTACGCTCTTAGTTGCTGATGACTTTGACTTACCGTTGATAATTTGATGCAGATACTCTAGGAATTATTTGAATCAGCTGATTGGGGGGATATGGGTTTCAATAAAATGTGCTTTATCACATATTATCACATCCCTTGAATATGTCAAAATAAAAGATTGAAGCTATATTTCGCAGTCCGTGGATTTATGTTATGTAGTCAATAAACTCAGAGTGAAGGGTTATGCACAACCTAACAGTTACAAAACCACGTTGTGAGTTAGAAATAAAATTTTGAGTTAATAAGTAATGTGAGGCACCGTTTTAATGGCTAGTATTCGTAAAAAATTGAACGGATATTTATGGGTCTGTAGTTAGCATGATTTGCTCTGTTCTCAGTCTTTTAGTGTACCTGATCTTACGGTTATCCGGGTACAAGTCTGCATCTAGTAACAAAGTGAATATCCTGAGTATGAACGGCTTGTCATCCCCGCATTTCCTAAGGAATATAAGAGAAATACCGTTAGTTTCTACACTTTTTGTAGTCTTACGACGTTTTATAGTTTCAGATACATTTTTGTCACTTAGACATACATTTATGCAGGTACTGAAAGTAAGTGTCAACATGTTGAGGTCAGCAGGTCGCTCTTAAAGTTTGAGAAAGCAGTGCTAAATATTTCACATCTCTGGGAATAATTACCTGTTTTGTAATTGATTTCAGTGAAATCGAAGTCAATAGCAACCAATTTGAAAACAAAATTTAATATCGAAACATGTGCGAAAAGTTTGGAAAATGTTATATCTGTTTCAAGCTTTAAGTTCAATGCCCTATACACAGATCGTGCAAGTATCATATAAGTAATGCTGCATAATATCAATTATTACGAGTCTGGTATTGTGCTCAGTATGCTCTGTTCCAATTATATCGCATTGGTAGGGTTATTTACATAGACAATACATCCTATACCTCTATTGTGACTACGGTTGAACTGTTGCAGTAAGTAGTCATCTACACTTAGTTCTGCATGTGGTATTTTAGACGAGTAACACTTTTCGTTTATTAGGATGATTTCCGTGTTAGTAAACAAGGCAGTCGTTCTACTTTCTGTCTTTGTATTCCCAAAGGAATGCGCGTTATTATGTGTAACGGAACGTGATTACTTGAAAAGTAGTTCGTTATTCTGTTCATACCTATCTGAATACACGTGTTTTGTTTGGCCAATATATTGATAGCCTATCAAATATATCTTCAAACCTCCTCGCTTCTGTCTTTTGATTTGTTCAAAAACTGGACTTTTGAAACAACCATTAGTTGTGATTGTCTCGTGTATGTTAGTGGACTAGTTATCATCGAAATAAGTTGAAAATTGAAAGAGGCTTTCCGACGAAGGCGTTTGCACTCACAAGCTACACTATTTATGTTGGTGGCACTTCGTCATATGGTTTAAGTGAACGGGTGATGAGATAACGTAATAAGATACATTCCCATGGTAACCAACGACGGAACTAGATTTGTAGTGAGATTGGTTCCACATCATTTTCGAAGCTGAACATGTAATTGCTGGGAAGACTGACATCCAACGTGCAACACGTGAAGAAGGTTGGTAATAGTGAACGCTGGAAAAAGTTAATGGGTGGGTATGACATGGCTCGGTCACGCAGGTGTGGTCACCCTGTGTAACCTTTCGCTTTTTTCAGTGTATCATTCTCTACCCAGTCTAAAATGTGCCCTTCAGAAGTTTTAGACGTTGAAAGGTGGTATTGGTTAAAACGTTGTCAAATTCCGAATACCTGTGGCATCCTCGGCTCATTATCATTATAGGGTATGTCATCATAGATTATGATGTTACTCCCACACAAGGTAGTCGCATCACGACAACTCTACCATCTTGGGATTAGGTTTATTACTATTGTAACAAAGACAAATGTACTAATGACAAAGTAAGCCATAATTCTACAAATTCAAACGATTCACACTTTATGACATTTATCGACAAACATAGTGAATAAATCTGTGTAACGTAGGTCAACCATACATGCTATCTTTTAGTCTGCACAAATAATACCACTTACTACTGAGATTGACTTTCAGAAACCAACTACTTATAACTAAATTACAGCCTTTTAAAACCCCAGATAGCTTGATCCGTAAATAATTCTGAACTCTTTTTATTGTTTATTTAAGATGTTATCGGAAAAATACTTTCACATTATATCCGCTCACTGTGGGGAGGATACTACTGCACCTAGACGGGTCCAAACATGAACAAGCCCAAAATGTATTTGGTAAAGAAATCGCAGATTTCTCAGGATATATTGATGAGTTGCTTCTGGGCTGTATACTTGAACTCCTGATATTTTTGGACTATGCAATTAAATCTCCTCAGCTCGTGGCACACAAAATATTGCAATTGTCCTAGTAAACGAAACACTGGCATGAGGCTAACAATTAGAATAATACGCTTACATTTGATGAGAATCTGACTGTGATTCGAAGCTCAGCAGATGTTAGCAGATTTATCATCAACCATTCAAACTTTAAATCTGGCCATTTACGGCAAGGTTTAGAATATAATGCATTTGATTTTTTTTTTCAAGACAAAAGATTCTCAACCATCTGAACCACTTGAACAACAATTCGACCTAGAGTCAAGGATTCTATTTGAACCATTTCATAAGTAGGACCAATTTTCGCGATAAAAGAAGTAGTTCACTATTTTCTCTGAGTTCAGTATTCTGATAGTAAAATTATGTCGTCTTATATCGCTTGTTTAGTCGCATATTGGTACTGACTTTATAATGGCTTTTTAATGCTACCAAGCACATGGAGGAGTACATGAGGAAACTCGACGTTAAGCAGAACCTCATTCCCATTTCTTCAAGTGTGACATGCATATACTAGCTCTAATGAGGTATTAAGCCTCCTTTAAGACGTTTTCAATGGTTTCTTATCGATATCTCTTCTAAAATCCCCCGTGTAACTTGGTCACAAAAAGCGAAATTTAAAGCGTTCTTGATGACTTTTCAAAATTCGTCATATCTATCCACATTAGAAGACTGTATAAAATTTATTTTGTTAAGATTATTGTTATCACGTTTACTCCACAATTAAACTGGCCCATGCTTAGTTTTTCTTACTTTTCTCTTCCGTTTTTGCGACCATCCCTCGTAATTTTTGATGATATATCTTGGCTAAACATTGACTGAAACTACACGTTTGTATATCAACAGTGTTGGATTCCTTTAAACTAACTTTGAAATGAATGGTTTATTTTGATGGACAATGGTGTTTTGGCCGTAGACTCTGTCATTCATTTATCAAAAAGATATCGATATATGTTTTGACATCTTTTGTTAATTTGACTACTACCATTAAACCTTATTGAGTGAACTCAATTGTGTCAGAAAACATGAAACTAAGAAACTTTGGATTAATATGGCAATTTTACTTCGATATGTAAAATTTTGAATTTCCAGATCACTCCAGATATTACAGTAACTTTATTTTAGCGACCTACAAATCTTCAAAAAGTCAAATATTCAACATATTGTTTCCAAAATGTATTAGGTTTATTATTTAAAACAGTTGCATGGCGTACTTATCAAGCCGTCGATAGAATCATAGACAGCAGTTATCAAGACAGCCGATGGCTAAACGTTCCATTCCATTAAAGCTCTATTATTACTTTAAAACTGATTATTGTTGTCTTGGTTCAGTGAAATTCATATTAGTTTAGTTAGTTAGCCCATTTGATTTAAATATCTGGAAGCCAAAATAAATTACTTCAGTGAAATTCTAAGGGGTATTAAATAGTTTGCACCAATAAGTCATCATCCATAATGCTTTTATTAAGTCCGTAAGATCAGACTTTATGCTATACAGTTTAAACCGATAATGTTATTTACCAGATTCCAGAAATATTCATCACCGGGTTTTGGTTACTTTTGTTGACAACGCTCTAAGAACGGAAGTCAGAAAATGAAATTGAGAATGCATGTTGCATCAAGTTTTGAGTATTCATAAAGAGTGGTAAGTTTTTGTGGTGACACTGGTTGCTCTTGATTTCAGTCACATTCAAAGATACATTTAGGTATGATAATCAATTACAACTATAATGAGAACCCTTTTCTTTTCAGACCACAACATTTTTAGTGAGTGTCTTTAAAATGACACCTATGCGGTTAAATTCTAACAAAGCCAATTTACTTTTCAGGCTTTTGACTTATCACTCTGTTAATCTCAGTTTTAATAGCAGTGTTGATTACAGTTTCATCACATTATTTCAGTTGAAAGTGTACCTTTAACCTTTTAGATATATCAATGACATCTGTGATAATACAAAAACTCAAAAAAGCTCAGCAACAAGGGAAAGAAGATAATCGAACTATACAGAGGTCGATCGGACGAAATATCAGTGAATTGGAAAGGGAAGAAAAAGATTTAGAAGATTTGATAAGATCAGCTGCCAGAAGGAACGACAGAGGAGCTTGCGCTATGTTAGCACAAGAGTTAACTAAAATTCGTGCTTTAAAGTCCAAAAATTCTCGTTTTGCAGACCACATGAACATTGTGCAGAGAAAACAAACAACTTCGCTGTACGCAGCAAAATATGGGGAATCACTTGAAGCGGCTGCAACTACCATGAAGAATTTCAACAAGGTATAAATTATTCCAGTTACGTTGCTGTAGTAACTTTTAAATTTGCTACGTTAACTGTTCGTCATAGTAGCCCAAAAGTTTACATCGAAGTATAATGGAGTGGTTAGAATTCAAATACAGGAAGTTAGTTTTACTATCCGGTTTTATAGTAGCTCCTAACTTAGTCAGAGAACATCATCAATATTAGAGTTGTAATGAAGATATCACACATAAAACTGCTTACCACTTTTGTCGAGCAGCGAGAAAATAAGTGCGTTAAATTTTTATTAATAAGCAATTTTTATGATACATGGACTGAAAAAGGGCACCTTATCTTGGTCATGAATTCCAGTCTTGACATTTCGATTCATTTTCTGCCATTGTCTGGTAGTTGATTGTTGGCCAAAGACCAAATCTAGTATCAGTGAGTCACGTGGTGAGACTTTAAAATCGGTTTTCTTGATGTTCAGCTCCAACGTTTTACAAACGGTAAGCTAGGAATTATAAATCTCCAGTTTATACGAAAATTAGTGGCATTAAATTAGGTAAGCAACATAATTCGTTACATAACTCTGTTTTTCTGTAAAGTGCTTGTTGCTTTTTAACATTAACCATGCCCAAGTTTCTGCGAATCAAGTATGAAATTAGCTTTGGAGTTTCCAAATCCACATCCCAAATATAATGTATAGATTCAGCCATATTCAAGGGAGTTACAAATTACAGAACGATATATATGGAAAATAGTCGTCAGTATGATTGTACAACTTTGATATATGATATCGTAGAGAAGAAACTTTTCTTTTGAAACGTCTTTATTTGTTTCACTGGCTTGACAATATTTATTTGTTATTCTTTCTTAGTTTTTCATCATGTGTTTGCATGTAAAGTACAACATTTAAAGCATAATTCATTAACCAAACTTAAAATTATCTTTTCACTCACATCGGAAAAACGTCAACCATTAAGGTTGCATTTTTGAGCGAGAAACTATGTATAATATTTAAATAAAAGAATTTTCGGACATTATTAGACTATTTGAAGTCTAACTATGAACACACATTCAACTGGTAAAGTGTTGAGATCTTGGATAAAGGCAATTTTAAAAACACCAGAGAATTTTTAGAAGCTCGGTTAATTTGCAATCAACAAATACATTGAAATTGATCACATTTATAAATCAATCAAAAAATTTATGGGCGAATATAGAACCAATACTTAAATCCGTAGAAGATACAATCAAAATAAAGAAGTCAACAGTAACAGGTTAAAGGTCAACAATGACCAATTAATATAGAGGTCTACAGGACACGCTGTGAGCTATGTGTGGAAAAATTTGGATACTTCACTTTTGCCTAAAGCTTGTGCTGATGATGCCGTTCAGAATAATGATGAAAGCTTTACAGTCAAGCCTTCCAGCTCAGAGAATAAAACTTCATCAAAATCATTCACCTGAGCTACAAATCTTTTCTACCAGTTTCTACCTTGTTTCTGATTAAACGACTGAATTATTATTGAGTTTAGGTGTACCAACGCTTAAGTTCTTGGTGCCATTTTATAAATAGCATCAGTATGTACAAGAATTTACGTGAAACTGTAATGAGCAAAACATCATTGTGTAGTTAAAACTTCGTTTCAGAAATATCATGATTACAATCAATTCAGTAAATAAAGGCGGTTGTTTGGAATGTGCAACTAAAAGATATTTAATTTTAATCGACCTAATGTTTCCTTAATTTTAGGTTATGGACAAAACGAAGGTCCCTGATCAACTTCAACAGTTCGATAGGGAAGAAATTCAAATGGATATGTCTGAAGATACCTTAGACATCATGCTATCTTCACTGTGCGAATCTGACGAGGAGGACGTTGATGAGTACATAACAAACATTTTAAGTGAACCACAAGGTCATGTATCTAATGTGTGGCCCTCTGTTCCTGATACACCTTTAAGAAAGTCCAGTTCCATCTCCAAAAAATTTCGTGATAATATAGTTTAATAACTTTTGTGCAAATATGCACACGTTTTGGTCCCTCTAAGCAAAAACGTTCCAAAAATACATCTATGACTGTGTACTCCTTTGAAACGAACTTCAGAAAACTCTTGTCTTTCTTACACTTAAAGTTTTGACTTTATGATTCAAAAATAACAAACGAAATTTCAATGTAAATTTTTAACTTCTTTTATATGTGACTATAAGAATTTAATTAAAGTTCCTGGTATATAGTGTTTTATCTTTAAAATCCAATCACGTTTTACCTATCATTTTATACCTTTCGAATGTTTACATCTTCGATCAAACTTTGAATAATTGATTTTCATCCTAAGGTAAGTTTTCTACAGACTGCAAGTAGGAATTTCAAGCATTACATACTTCTTAGAATATAAACGTGTTTCATGTGCTCCTAAAGTCGCTGGAAAATCATAAAAAGGAATCTTAATTTTAACACCTGTAAGCTTGTTTGAGTTATTGATCGGCTTTAAGATGATATTTAGTTAATTAAAACAACCCATAGTGTCATTAAATAAGAAAAAAGGAATTCAATGGAGAAAATTTTCTTTTCGACTTGTTATTTTCCTCGAACCCATTTCGGTGATGCAATTTTTTCTATCCTCCAATAGACAGACATTTTCCATATAACTATGTACAGCTTAAGCAAATGAAAAGAAAATTTTCTTCGCTGAATTCTTTTTTGATATTTAGTTACCAATGATGAGAACCAATTATGCTTTGTTTGTTGAAACGAGAGACTTTTGTCGACATCTACTATATCCAAGTAATTGACAGCAACTCGGCTGAAATCCAAACCGGATATGTTTAAATTACATCTAGTTGTTACAGATCATTTTAAGCACTTTATATGTTGATAACCTTTGGGTGGCATCCATTTGCTAACCCAGCCAGACATAACACAGTGAATATATATATCCATTTAAAAGTAGATGCATTTGACATTCATGATAACCTGACATATTTTTCTCAAAAAACATACTTTCTTAAATAAAGAATATGAAAACTATGCAGTAAAGGAAGTTGTAAGGCACTGGTTATGTTCATCAGGAATTACTATTGATATAACGTTGAATGTATTGACCCATTAATAGCAATATGTTCTCAAAAAGTTTTCAGATGATGTTTAAAATGATCACTATGAACTGTAGGGATTATTCTATTTTATTATTTTATGGGCTCACTCCTAATGTTTTAAACGTTTCTTCATATCGTACTGTGAATAATTTCACTGACTAAATAATTAATATTAATTTTATACATAACTTTAATTTTGTAATTTGGGTTCACACCCTTGGATTGAATGTTGCTTCCAACAATATGATCAGCAAGAAATTCAGTTAAATAACTAGTTATAGATCCCTTTCATTACCATTTTTCGACAAATCAGAAAGGTTTTCATCAACAAACTAATTAATAAATAGGCGTAAAAATACAAAAATAATATTACTAGAAAACTAAATCTGTTTTTAACAAACTGACGTATCATCTATATACGGGAACATTATTATTAATTTATGTTACTATAACCGTAAAATGGCACAAATATTCACAATTAGACTGTAACAAATTTGAAGAGAAAAGTTATTTAAAACCGACAAACATTCGCTGTTCGCAATGATGATGATGAGTTCCATTATTTACCAGTAGACTGTAGTCTTTACTTAGATACTTAAATATTTACTTAAAATGGAAATAATAAGAACAATTCCCACTGATAATTAGTTAAGTTTAAGTGTTTGAAAAAGTATGATTCCCTTAAATTTTCAGGGCAATCAATTAAAATTAACATAGAACCGGAAACATTTTTAAATCAGTATGATGTATCACATCAAATCATAGACATATATAGATTACGAATGCCAGTTAACAGAAGAACTAGATACATAGTCTATTCAAGCAGTTAAAGCTGACGTAGATAAGGAAAGAAATCGCAGATAATATTAATAGAGAATAAAATAAAACAAAGGAATTATATTGGAATCAGATTCAATAATATCGCAAATGTATTTAATGACTAAACAAATAAAATAAACAGATTTATTGCTCTCCAACTTAGTCAGAAAATTTCTAAATGATTAGCTGGTGCATGATTATAAGCATTGCCAACCTTTTAACAGAAAATTAATCGTTTATGCTGAGTAACGATCAGAATATATTTCAGTTCATCTGGTTTACATGTAATTCAGCTAAAACTCGAATTTAACACCATAACAGATAACATAAGTGTTAATGTTTATTTACGAAAATTAACATAACTACATCAAATCACTTTAATATTTCAAAATCCTGATAGGTTGTTTAACAAAATAACATTAATCAGTCAAATCAATGACTGCCATTCATTTTGACACACTGAAAATTGAAGTAGTCGAAGATTTAAATTTCAGAAAGACGATATTGTGAAATAAATTTAAAAAATAATGACTAATTTACAGAATTCTACCAAGAATCTTCGATTTGATCGAAATCAACAAAGGAGCATAATATGTAAATAAATATTGGGCTGAGTATATATATATATATATATATATATATATATATATATATGTATATATAAATGTAAACTGAGTATGTAAATAAATAATAAAGTCTATCTTCGCATAAATTTGAGGTTTAATATTTCCAAGATAATGAATCAGGAAGAGTAAAAGTTTCGTCCTCTAACCTGGATAGCTTAATCATGAAGTTTTCATTGTCCCTCTTAATAACATCAACACAAACTTCAGGTAGAAGTCCTGAGGAATTTGTTCAGGGGAACAATGAATGCTTTATGACTTAACGAAGCCCTACTACAGCCTGAGCTACAAATCTTGCCCACTATCTCGAGGAGTTAGTTTATAATATCAGCTCAAAGTATAGCACAAGTGAATTATATGCAGGTGATCACGTGGAAATAACTTTGAGCTTAGACACTACTATGTTTTTTAAAAACTTTTTTATTTTCGCTCTTTAAAATCTTTCAAAATTCAGTTTTGTTAACGATTTAATTTCTGATCCATTATTTGATGTAACTAGTTTGATAATAACTCCGCCTGCATCTCTTCCAGAGTTACTACAGGTCCCGGATAAAGAAGGAAGGTTGGGCATGGGGCTAGCGACCCCATCCCATAGAAAACTAATTCGCTAAAAATCGCTAAGCGGAAAAAATAATTCAAACCATTTAAACTCTGCCCTGGGAAATAGAAGATTTGCATTTAGAAGAGTTATGACGCCTCATGGTGAAAGCTGAGTTCCTTCAGAAGTCATGAGGCCGATGCCACTTCTAACAACCAGAGCAACAATTTTTATTGGTAAATGAAACGTCCGGACAAAGTGGCAGACTAGGAAGACTAGTCAACTAGCAACGAAAATGACGAGATACAACTTTGGAGTACTGAGAACCAGAGAAACCCATTGGACCCAAGCTGGACAACAAAGGTGAAATACGGGAGAGATGCTGCTATACTCCGGTCACGAAGAGGAAAATTCTCCACACACTCAGGGATTTGCTCTAAAGCTGTCCAAAGAAGCACGAAATGCACTTGTGTGATGGGAATCTCACGGGTCCAGAATCATCAAAGCATCATTCAAAACAAAGAAAGAGGGAATTACAATGAATGTTATCCAGTGTTATGCACCCACCAGTGGTGGCAATGACGACGATAAAGACCAGTCAAGGACAAAGAAGGCAGGCCAACCACTGAAATTCAAGAACAGCGGAACAGATGGTAGAGTACTTTGAGGAACTCTTGAATAGACGAGCTTTAGTGAATCCACCGGACATCGAGGCAGCACACACAGACCTTTCTATATATGTCAACCCACCAACGACGGAAGAAATCAGAATGGCCATCAGACAAATCAAGAGCGGGAAAGCAGCAGGACCTGACAATATATCAGCTGAAGCACTGAAATCATACATCGAAGTAACAACAAACATGCTTCACCTTCTAGTCAAAAAGATTTGGGAGGAGGAACAAGTGCTGGAAAGGACACCTCATCAGGATTCCAAACAAAGGAGATCTGAGCAAATGTGAAAACTACAGAGGCATCACACTACTGTCAGTACCAGAGGGTCTTTAACAGAGTGTTGCTGAACCGGATGAAAGACGCAGTAGACGCCCAACCTCGAGATCAACAAGCTGGATTGCGTAAGGATCGGTCGTGCACAGACCAAACTGCGACGCTGCGGATCATCATCGAACAATCAATTGAGTGTAACTCGTCACTATACATCAACTTCATTGACTGTGAGAAGGCGTTCGACAGTGAGGATAGGAAAACATTATGGAAACTTCTTCGATACTATGGAGTTCCTGAGAAGATTGTCAACATTACCAAATAAAAATAAAACCATACTTCTCGACACCATGCTTTACCCTACGCATCGTAGGGGAGTATATAAGGGCAGACTTGATTCAAATGTTTCACAAGACGGCCACTGCAATTATTATGTAAGCAGGTCTAATGTTGGACAGACTACAGTTAACCAACGAGCCTCACGATTACCCTCAAACGTTTTAAATGATAAATTTGTAAGACGTAACCTCTCTCAACACTTTCTCATTGGGCAAGATGGACTACTAGGTTACTCACCATCAACAAAACCCCAACTAGCAGGTGCTTGTCTTAACTGTCCGCCAAGTCAAGTTCAACAAATTAATCCACTTTATCAAAATAATGATTTTCTTTGGCCTTCAGAAATCCCTGGTCCCACTAGCACTACAGTTTGTTCAGGCGATAGCCCATGTGATCAGTCAAACATTATAAACCACAGTCTATGCAAATCCAAAATACACAACATCAATAGGGAGGATCTCGGTTTTTTACACTCCATACTCCCTTTTTAAATTTATTACTTATCAATGCACATCCAATTCTGAACAAAATTTCAGCAGTATCTGATTTAGAATTAAATATCCAAAACTATAGACTCTATCGCTGTGACAGAGAAACTAAGCGAGGAGGTGGTTGTATTATATATGCTTTGGATACCCTAACAACTA